GTGCCATTGCCTCCTTCCTCTTGGAATCACCCAGATTCTAATTCATTCTGATTTGAACAAGTTCCTTTTGAATAAAAAATCTCATACCAACTGAAGAATATGTTGGTGCCATTTCAACTGGTCGGTACAGAGTGGTTCAAGCATTTACCACACTGCTCGATCCACTTCAAAGATAGAACGAGATGGTAATTCACAATGCAAATAAACTTTATAAACAGTGACAACTTTTTCCCAACTAAGTTTTAATTTTTATAAGATGTTTTATCTAATTGAGATGTAGCTATCTTAGTTATCCTGCTATCCTTAATATTAGCCTAGCTATCGTGTTGTGTTAGATTTTTAAACTATTTATGTCACAATAGATTTTATTTATTGACATTTTAAACTGTGATTACAATTGATAATTATAAATTTAAATTCATTATCCACACAAGTTTTTATACAACAAAGGAATGAAATGAATTAAGCAAAACTTAAAATATGCAGAATGAATTTTACAAACAGTGTTATCTAATTTAACACTTGTGGCATTAAGCATCTTTCAGATCTTCATCCAAAGTATTCGGCATTTTCCAAACTAATATTCTAATAAATTGTCTTTTGAAACCGTTGGCATAGTTCAAAATTATCATCAATCAAGAGATAACTTGGTAGTTAACTTAAATATATTTCATATGTTCATTAAAAAAAAACCTTTGCTGTCTGTTAGCATAACAAAGAAGTCTATTATTCATAGTGATACTGCTGGCCAGCAAAAGGTTGCAAAAGTGTCCAATTTTACTCAGAAAGATCAGAATGTAATTTGGGTCGGATTCTCGAAAATTATTTGCGGACTGTCGTCCAGAAACGTCTGGTTCCTTTCTAGAAGACTGGTGCCATCGACCAAATATATAATTGATGGAGTGGACATTTAATTGTATTTGCCTGTATCTTGTATTAGTATGAGCAATGAAAGTATTAAATAGATAAGAGCATAATTAGGAAGTAGCATGCAGACAATATATTTTTTATTATATAAATAGAAGGAATGCAAGAAGTGTATCTACAGAATAAAAAATTCTATCCATTCTTTTGTTGTATATAAGTTTAGAATCCTATATAATATCACTTAGTTTTGTGGAAGAGATGTGGACTTGCGATAAGCGTATGCATTATAAAAGTTATTTTTTAACATTTTTTAAATGTATTTCTGAAAACAATTTATCATAATTATTATCAAATTAACCTGGTGATAGACCATTCTATCCAAGAGTTGTAATGCAACCTTCTCTTCCGCCAGCCTAAACCAAGTAGGAATTTGATTTTGTGACTTCACAAAACTCACAAAAGCAAAGAAAGAACTTGAATAACACATCTCTCAAGAAAAGGAAATGGCACCTCCATTGTTTTAATTTATCAAATCTTAAGGAGAAAATTTATAAATGAATAAATTCCTATATAGAAAGTTTAATAAAGTTCTGTCGTATTTAATGAATAGGACAGAACTTTATTATTTTTCAATAAATTTGAATAAGGAGCAAGTTCAGTTCTAGTTTGAAAGTTTGAAAGTTTGAAATTACAGTATATATTATTAAATATTCTTAAGCTTAGACAAAAATGCCACCGACTCAAACTATCGATTCGGATCGGAATTTACGACGTAATCAATAACGAACCTGATGAAACACGTGCCGGAAGTGCAAAGCAAAACACTACGGCGAATGAACTCTACATTGAAAACTGAAATGCAAAATCAATTTCTGTGGTGGCACTGTTCAGAAGACATTGGCACTTAACTTATCTGCCATAGTCCTATTTTCGACCGCAAGCACGGGAGTTATTAAGCTTCAAACAGGGCGAACAAAATCCTGCCCCCCTGTACACTAATATCCATACTTACAGAAAAAACTCCGAATTTTTTTTGCATTTCTCGAAGTTTCAAGGTCCTTCGAGTCCAAAATATAAAAATCTTGGGGTGTGACCTACCGAAACTAACAGCCTCCCAATTAAAAACTTCTTCCTCTTCACTTGTTCAATTCGAAAAACTAAAGTTTTCATCGAACGTCGAAGTTACGTTCTAAACATATAACTCGTTACCCTGCTTCGTCTTTGCCCGCCGCAGAGCACGCGCCGTTTGCTGGGAAAGTTGCATCACAGGAGACACGAGTATTGTTAACATCTGTACTCTTGTGTGGTAGCACTAACGCGACATCTCGTGACGTCGACTACGACAGGCCGGCTTAATATCTAGCGAGAGTTACGCGTTACTTTTCCGGTGTATAATTCCATTACAGAGCTAATATATCTTTTTTAATGGAAAAGGGAAAAATCGTTTGATGGGGAAATTTTAAAATTACAAATTCTCATTTTTTAAGAATTAAAACACTTCGGAAAGCGAAAAAAACACGACGGTTCACGTACTCGTGGCGCGTTATAAATAGACGGGGCCCGGCCTTATTTGAATTAGGGGGCCCCACGTAGTGTTGACTTCGGACTTTTTCTTTGGAGGAAATATTTTCTCCNGTCCGAGTTAGCAGGGGTTTACTGTACAAATGGCTTTCTTTTAATACACTTTCTACCCTGTGGGCACCAAGAGAGCCTTTTAATCCAGCCCGTCGCGGGTTCGGTAGGGCTTACAATGGGGTGATCGGATGGAGAGGGAACGGTCCAACCCCAGAAAATGCGTTTTCCACCCTCCGGATTTCCCAGAGCGGAGAAAACACCCCGCTTACTCTGTGTAAGCTGGGGTATTAACAATTTCTGAGGATCCCGACTGGGATTCGAACCAGGATTCGTTAGAGCGAAGGGTTGAGGACTCGACCATTTGGCACTTAGTACTATCGTAGGAAATTTGTGCTTAACAACAGAACGACGTACGAATGGTATTTTAAAATACTCCAGCAACGAGTTTCCGCGCAATATGTGGTGGCGCCATCTGTTATGATATTTTATTTTTAAAAATTTTTATATTTTTAATTATAAAATGACAAAAAGCTTAATTGAACTTTGAAAAGATGACTTTTTATGGAAAAAAAACGTAAATGCTAATAACGAGTAAAATCGTTATTAAATACGACCCTACTGGAGATACACGCGATTCCTTTATCTCCCCACTCTCTCGACCTTTAACCATCAAAATTTAATAGCATCGACCCTGTAATACACAAACCTCCCTGCAAAATTTCAGAAATTTTTAAAAAAAAACATAGGAGTTATTAAGCTTCAAACGGGATGAACAAAAATCATGCTCCACGTACTGTACTGTACAGTACACACATACCAACATTCGTATATGCAGGAAAACAGACTGAAGTTTTTGCATTTTTCGACGTTTCGAGGACCCGAGCCCATCAGTATAAAAATCTTGAGGGGTCATTTTTTGATCGATTGCCATACTTTCCCTGTGTTATGTAGAACAGCCAGGAGAGTAATAGCAAATCGTATTAGTACTTTTTGCTGCCGACGTTAATAATACAGTACAATTTTAATTTCAAAACACTGTCACACCAGAATAGTAGACTGTTGCATGAGGAGAAAGATAAAGGAAAAGGGAGAAAGCAATACCCAGGGATTTTTTTTCCTTTTATATAATCGCTCTCTTTTCAGCCGCTTTTCAGAACCACTTTATTCTTCCTTCCTACGGTCGTGTAATAACAATAAAATAACGAAAAACTTTGTCTACAGAAACAATTGATAAAGGAATTACACGAACAGAGTAGTGGCCCACCATTGGCCAAGAGGTTTCGTTTCCCGAACACTGGGAGTTAGATCGGTGGGTTCGTGTCTGGCTTGGACGGGCTGTGGAGTTTTCCCGGTTTTCTCCACGTCTGTAACCCTAAATAGGGGCTAGTTACCCTTAAAATGACCTCCCGGGAGGCATCCGTCCTAAGCAGATCGCCCAAGTGTTGCGTTGCCTTAACAAAACAAACAAACGAACATACTGTAGTAGTAGTATAATGAAAGATTTTCAATAACAGCGCTTTGTCCTTTCGATATTTAAAAATCTGTAAAAATACAATTATTACAAAATTCAAATTATAAAATAGAATCATCCACTGCAGAAGAGGCACTGTTAGTTCGAATGCGCCATATTTCTAAATGCGCCGCCGGCGCCAACCCCAAATTAAACACGTACAGTACTTTTTGAAAGGAGACTAGAAATACTTAGTGTTAAGTCGAGTAATCGAAGATAAGTATACAACAGTGTCGATATAACACGTAATAATATGGACACGCGCAATAAATCTTTAAGATGTACCACCATCCGTCATTTCGAATTTCCAAAGTGCTCGTCGCGGATGCCGCGCATTGTTAACGTTCCCCAATTAAGATATATTTGCATAGAAATCTCAACAGGCCTATGCCAGAACACTTGCATATCGTGGCTCGAATATGCCAGAGATGCGCGAGCATCCGCAACGAACCATTTGAAAAGTCATTTGAGATGTCCTAACGCGTAATATTGTCTACAGTGGCTCGTTATAGCTTCCTGGGGCCCGGACGAATTTGAATTAGGGGGCCCCGCGTACGGTACTGCCGTCATACATTTTTCTTCGGGGGGAAATATCTTCTTATAAAAGATTGGCTTCCGTCGGTGGGGGCTCAGACAACTGCCCTCAATGCCCATAGGAAAATTACAACTATAACAATTGAAACTAATTTAGTACGTTTTCGATCTTTTTATGAAAGCAACCCTCTAACTGGCGTACTGTAGTACGTGTGACGTATCCGATACCAAATAATTTAATCGAGTGATTGATTATCACGAGGTGTTGCAACACTCCCAAGCTGGTTGCAATATCCTGGGATGTGGCGAAAGACATGATTACGTATCACCGGTCGAACTGAAGTAGGCTATTAAAAATATTCGCCTTCACGCCAAATTTTTTACTAATTTTCTTTAAAATTATTATTTTTGTTTTTTTAATGTAATTTGAAACTCGAAGTCTCAAAAAAATCAACGAAACTCGTGTCGCGACAATCGTCACTCGTGAATGAATTAAAATAAACAATTTAAATATTAAAACCGAGAACCGGTTTGTAAGCATCCTTTGCATAGCCTCGTGTCTCGTGTTTCCTGCAATTTAAAATGCGACCGTCACACGAAGATCATTAGTGAAAAGGTACAATTGTGAATTTTACGTTTCCCTCCAATTATGCAAAACACAAAGAAAATTTTATTTCTACGCGGAAGAGGGCACTTCCGCCATTTACTCCACTTTGCAATAAATCTCATCCACTGTCTCGCGTGTATCTCGAAAATGAGTCACGCGATTTCCTAGAATATTGCGCGAATAAATCAAAGTTAGTTACACTTCATGCCTTGGTGTAGCAACAGGTCGGTGTGGATTATAATGGGGATAGCAACACTGGTGTCGTTCGTAGTCATTTTAGTGGTGTGTGTGGCCTACGTAGTGGGGTCGGCAACCCCTTCCACGCGTCAAGACGCATCCACTCGCACCTACTACGTGGCCGCTCGAGAAATCGTGTGGAACTACGCGCCGGACGTCGACGCAACGCATTACCCACCGAGTCATAGCTCGTGAGTACCGTTTTATGGAATAATTTTACCATAAATTATTAAACTAGTGTAAAATACGTTTCGATCTTTTACGCGGTCGTCGGTTATGGAGGTTTCGAGGTCATCGAACAGTTCTGTTAGACGAGTCAAAATGGCGATCGATTTGCCATTTACTCTTCCATCGACCGGTTATAAATTATCGATGACAATTAGGAATTGAGTAATGGTCTTCAGCTCTTACGTCACTAATGAGGAAGTGCGACTCGTTTTCGTGCTTATAAATTGTACAGATTGGAAGGTAATTCTGCATAATTGACTCGTTTATCCGTCCTTCCAGTGAAGGATATTCGAGATATTTTTGTAATAGTAGAAGAAAAAAAAAATTTTAGTAACACGAAGCGTGAAGTACGTCGCATATTTAATTACGTTTATTCAGAAATGCGTAAATTAGTGTGCAATTCAGACGTATCAGATGGAATAGAGAGCTGTTTCCATCAAAAAATATCGTACAATGATATTTAAATATGTAAAAGGGAACCAGTGTCGTGCAAAATGCAGGAAGACGATCTTGCAACGGGGATAAAAAGTATATTGGAGGAAAGACACTGCCGTTGTTTATTACGGCTTGCAAATACAATTATAATTATGAGAACACAATTCGAGTTTTCAGATTTTTCAATTAATCGACTTTACATCTCGTTAGTGAAAGTGGAAATACGTAACCCAACAATTAAGTTTAATGTTTAGAAGAATATTCGTACGTCTGATGGATTTCTCCAGCTTTTTACAATAATAAAATAAGAATACTTTTTTCTAGATTTATAGATCAACAATTGAGTGAATCGACGGATCCTCCCCGTTTGGGGAGATCTTACCTGAAGGCAGTATTCCGTCAATACACCGACGATACGTTCCAAACAGAAAGTCAAAGACCGGAATGGCTTGGAATTTTGGGTCCGGTGATAAAGGCCGAAGTAGGTGACGTCATCAAAGTTCACTTCTTTAACAATGCCTCGATTCCCGTGTCCATGCACCCTCACGGTCTGTCTTACGAGAAGAGTGACGAAGGTAAGTTATTTGGTTACTTTTCTGTTAAAACGATTTTAAAAGTGACATTTTGCTTTTCGAAGGGGCTTACTATCAAGATAATTCGACTCTGGAAGATAAAGCCGACGACGAGGTTCCTCCAAACGGAACGTTCGTTTACACCTGGACACTTCCGGAATCCAATTCTCCTGCTTCGTCGGATCCGGATTGTTTAACCATGGCTTATCACTCTCATCGGAAGGCGGATTCGGACATACACACGGGATTGATTGGCCCTCTTGTAGTTTGCAAGAAAGGTAAATGCCACGATAAAAATTATACGAGACTTGCCGTGCTATCCTTTTATATATGAATCACGGAAGAACTTCCGTGTGTCTTGATTATTCAAAGATGGAGAATCCACCGAAAATATTGCCATTCAAAAGCTATTGATGAACTTTTTACAATTTTGAAATCTTAGAAATTAATTAAAATATTTTTTTCTTTATTTTATACGTATTTTAAAAACTGTCCAGTGGGCCCCGAGAACGATGCCGATCGTGAGGTAGTTGGTGGGTTCGCATCCGTATAAAGGGCTGGTCACGTGGAGCTTTTCGGTTTGTTTGTTAAGTTATGGCAACGCAAGATTTGGGAGATCTGCCTAGGGAGGATGTCTTCTGGGAAGTCTTTTTAAGGGTAATTGGCCTCTATTCAGGCGTTACAGACGTGGAGAAAATCTGGAAAACTCCTCGTAGCTAGCCCCTTCTGGCCAGGCGCGAACCCACGACTGAACTCCCAGTGTTCAGGGAACGAAACCACTCGGCCACTAGTGGGCCGAAGCTTTTCGGATTTTCTTCACTGTGTCTAACACTACTGTAAAAATTCAAATATGCATATTCAAAACTTAAATATCAAGAAAATAAAACGAGTAAAACGTAAGATTCTGGATTATTACAGGAATTTTTTATTAGTGTACATGAAATATAATTTTATATAATTTAGTATTGTTAAGTTTTCGTTGTTAGATTTTTACATCTATCATCCGTGAAACGAGGAACATCCGCAGAAATAAATGATAAGGCGATAAAGTCGATTGCCATATTTTCCCTTTCTTTCTAGGAAGGGAATTCCCTGTAATATGAAAATCTTTAATCGGATAGAATAAAATAGACGGCTGTCGTTTAATTTTTGAATGAAAAAAGTAATAGATTCTTGGTCCAAGGGTTAGAATCGATTAGTCAAGCGGTTTTATAGCCATCAGTATCTGCCAGTTGGTTACTAGTGGCCTGTCTGGCGAGGGGGTGCCTCGCGGGAGGACTCCCTACGGAAACTAACCCTCATTTAGGTGTTAGACGCGTGAAGAAAGTAAAACCAGAAAACTCCTTGCGACCAACTACCAGTCGGGCGTATGCAGGGTTCTTACGGTGTTGTAACACTCTCTTAGTACCAAAGCAATCGATTTTATCATCCAAAAAAGAAGAGAGTCCGGATAATCGAAAGGTTAAATGTGGCAGCCTACCGATCCTAGGTTCACCAACCTAGGATCGAATTCGGAGGTCCGGGTATGTCGAGCCCCATCCCTCTCCATCCGGTGGCCTTACTGTGGATTTAGCCGAATTCATACATACGGGCTTGCAAGAAAAAAGCCCTCTTAGTGCTCTCATGGTAGAAAACGTTTTAAAAATAATAAATATAATAACGCATGTAGTTTGACTTCAATTAGGTAACTAAGTACTCGTAATTCTAAGGTAATTGAGTAACATTCTCCGAAAAACGACAGCGGCCGAATCTGCGTCGAACAGAATCCATATTCTCAATATCCTAGATACACCGCTGCCGTTTGATGTTCGGGTATAAAGAAAACTACGAGTAATACCAGAAGACCCACGCTGACATTAGGCCTAATCGTGCCATACAAACTGATGATCCTCAAAAAATTAGGATTCGATTTGTAGTGGCATCGCAGGAATTCACGACCCTCCTGATTGTTCCCATTAATGAGGTCAGGAATGGAAACGAAGTTTCAGACTTTCCTCTTCAGACAAACATATTTTATACAAATTTATTATTATTAATCACATTAACTTTTAAATATTGGTAATTTGAATATTCTCTTTTCGCCCACAGGAACCTTGGAAAAATATGAAGAAAAGGAAGGAAAAACAGTGTTTTTGCTATTCTTAATTTTCGACGAGAACGAAAGTTGGTATTTGGAGAGGAACATCGAACGGAAACTTTCATCGACGGAACAAACACAAACTGTCATCGAGGGAAACGAAGAATTAAAAGAAAACGAAGAATTCCAAGTTCGTATCGATTCCTCACATTTCACTTAAATACCAAAGATTTAAAAATAATTATAAACGTGATTTATGGTAGGAATCAAACCGAATGTATACCATTAATGGACGCTCGTTTGGCACTTTGGGTGGATTAGAATTTTGTGTGGGAGACGATATCGAATGGAGACTGATCGGAATGGGAAACGAAATTGACGTACACTCGGTCACGTTCCAAGGCCATCTTGTTAAATTGAATGGACACAGGTAAACCAGGTATTTTTGCGTCGTAACGATTGCGATTGCTGTTGAGGAAACAATTCTTTAGTTTTTCAATCGTCGCTGTCACTTTTTATATAATAATACTTTCGGTGATCGCTTCCATTGCAGAACCGATGTTGACAATGGCAAAAATATGTATAAGAATGACGAATCGCGTGACCGGTCTAGTGTTAAATCAAATATTCGAATGAAAATTATAACAGGTATCTTAGGTTTGTTCTGGTTACACAACCGAACACACAGGGTAAGAATTAACAAGTGTTCTCCGGCCTGTACGGGTCTTTCGAGTGTTCCATTTCATTATAATGAATACCAAGAAGCGCTAAGTTTTTGGTCTTCCTCTTTTTTGTTGTATTTTATTGATGTATTCGTTTAATAGCCGTTTTGGGGGTCGGCAGGTCTTCATTATTAAAATATATCCTGATAGACAGTGATTATCGTGCAGTCCTCGTGTTTCCTTTTTTTAAAATCTTATCTTTTCTAATGCCGTCTCGGTGCGTTCGGATTGTATTATAAAGACAAATCTTTCAATTGCAGAGAAATAATTCGTTTGTCATTACTCTAGGACCGATGTCGTTAGTTTAGTTCCTGCGAAATTCACAAATGTAAACATGGTTGCCAGATACGAAGGACAGTGGAAAATTCTTTCCGAGACGGGAACTGAATATCTGGGTATAATACGAAATATCATATAAGTCAAATTAACCACCCTCCAATACTTAAATTTTGGTAAACATTACAGCTGGTATGAAAGCTCAATTTACCATTCGCAAATGTTCAAGTAGCATCGTCAACGATTCCTTCGTGGTACCAGACCATTCTAGAAAGTACTTCATTGCGGCCGAAGAAATTCAATGGAATTATGCTCCGTCCAATCTCAACAAATTTAATAATAAAGAACTGACGTCTGACGAGTGAGTGGTATCTTTGATTTTCTATCGAGCAATCCGGTATTACGAACTACAGCTTCAGTCATTTTTAGGCACGCGGCGGTCTTCTTCGAGCAACAACCGAATCGAATCGGCGGAACTTATAAAAAAGCCGTATATAGGAGCTACACGGACGCGAATTTTACCAATAGAAATCCTCGTAACGAAGAAGAAGAACATTTAGGTCTGCTAGGTCCAGTTATAAGAATTGAAGTTGGGGAAACAATAACTTTAATTTTCAAAAATAAAGCCAGTCGTCCTTACTCCATTTTTAGTCCAGCTGTCGAGATTTTTGACCAAAATGGAACTTCTGGTAAGAACCTGTAGTGTTTCTGTTGTTATTTTTTTAACTAAAATATTCTGAAAATGCGATTTTCTAAAAAAAAAAAAAACAAAAAATAGTTAGATCTCATGGCGTTAAAGTCGAGGCGGGTTCTAGTGTTGTGCTGTATTGGTATGTGCCGGATTATCTTGGACCAAGCGAAGTGGATCCTCAGTGTTTAACGTGGAGATATTATTCTGATGTGGATGTTTTGAAAGATGCTTACTCGGGTCTCAATGGTATACTCTTGACTTGCAAAAAGCAATCTTTACATAATGGCAGACAGGTATTCGTAATTCATTGTTGCACCTGTACTTAGTTATTTTTTATAATTAAGCTTCCCGTGTTTATTATAGAGGAACGTAGATCGTGAATTTTCACTAATTTTCGCTGTTATGGATGAAAACGAGTCAAATTACATAGACGAAAATATTCTTACCTACTGTAGCAATCCCCAAACCGTAGATAAGGAGGATGAAGATTTTCAAGAATCGAATAAAATGCATTGTAAGACATTATAATGAAGCATATGAGCTATCTAGTTTATAATTTTCTATTAATTTATACCAATTTCAGCAATCAACGGGTTGATGTACGGAAACTTAGAAGGTTTGGATATGGTTTATAACACTAATGTCAGTTGGCATATTGTATCCTTTGGCAAGGAAACAGATTTGCATACGGCTTATTTTCATGGAGAGACATTTCTTCAGCATGGCATGTACAGAGATAGCTTTGTGCTTTTACCAAATATGCATTACACCGTGCTTATGAGGGCCGATAATCCAGGTATGACTATGATCAAGCTGCTTACGGTATTCTTATCGATTTAAAACCGAAAAATTTTTACTTCAGGAGAATGGGAATTGGAATGCAAGACAGTAGATCATTATCAAGCAGGAATGAGAGCGAAGTACCGAATAAACGAAGCAGACGGAACGAATGTAACCGAAGAAGGTAATGTGCGTACTTATTATATTGCTGCAAAGGAAGAGGAATGGAACTATGCCACACACTCGCATCATCTTATAACTGGGGAGCTGTTAACTGAAAACGAGTAAGTTTTCGGCACAGAAATGTGACTAAATTGTTCATAATTAACTGAATTTTCATTGCAGAGAGAGCAAAACGTTCGTAGAAAGAGGGGACGAAAGAATCGGAAGCGTTTATAAGAAGGTCATATACCAACAATACGCGGATCCGGAATTCACTCAATTGATAGCGAAGCCTTCCCATTTGGGAATACTTGGTCCTTTCATCAAAGCGGAAGTCGGAGAGAGAATCAGAATCGTATTTAAAAATATGGCACAAAATCATTCCTTCTCCATTCGTCTTCAGGGATTGGTGGCGGTTTCTGAGTGGGTGGCGGCACAATCCAACGAGATCGTTACTTACACGTGGAGAGTGCCGGAAAGAAGCGGGCCCGGAAATTCCGAATTTAATTGTACTTCTTGGGCTTATTATTCGGACGTCGATGTTACTCGAGATGTCAACTCCGGCCTGGTCGGTCCTCTAGTTATATGCAGAAAAGGGATTTTAGGAAACACAGGTTTGAGTTTACGTCATTCTTGTGGAAGTGAATTACGTGTCAATGTAATTATTGCACGATTTAATTCGGTTTTTTTTTTTACTAAATAGGTGCAAGAAACGACGTGGATCGAGAATTTTCCTTGCTGTTTACGGTTTTCGACGAGAACTTGAGTTGGTATCTACACGAAAATATCAATAAATACTGTCACAAACCGGAAAGCGTGGATGCCGAAAACGAAGATTTCAAAGAAAGCAATTTGTTGCACGGTTGTATCATTATCAACTAAACAGTATCTAGTAATACTGTTTTATAATAATCACTATCAATTATTACAGCTATCAACGGCAGAATTTACGGTTCGTTAGAAGGCTTGGAGGCTAATAAAGGCGATCGAGTGGCGTGGTATTTTATAGGATTAGGTAACGAAGTGGACGTGCACACCGCGCACTTTCACGGTGTTACGTTTGTCAGATGGAACGAAGGTAAACGTCGTAGTGACGTCCTCGAATTGTTCCCCGGGGTGTACGAAACAGTAGAGATGATGGCAGATAACCCCGGGCGATGGCTTCTACATTGTCACGTGGACGATCACATTAAAGCCGGAATGAATACCCTATTTACGATTAAAGATTAAGTAGAATGAATTTTTTTATCTACAACTTCCTGTCTTGTATATTTGCAAAATATAAAATAAAATCTGGTATTATTAAGCGTTCCAATTTTCTAGTTTTTCTTATTAATTGAATTCTTCACCGAACAAACAAAGTATAATCTTCTACTCGCGAGTCTTTGCCATTCATTCCTCAACTTGTCACACCTGTAGTAATAACGCATGCAGAAATCTAAGTAACTGTTTCACTTAAAAACGGTGGAACGTAATAATTCCACTATCAAATAACGTGTGTAGACGAGAGAATACACGTTTCCCGCATTACGTTAATAGCGTTTGCAGAATCGTAATACAGAAAGACCCCGCTTAACGCGGGAGATGCGTTCCTAGACGACAAAGCGCTAAACGAGGTCATTTTAACATAGAGTAAATAGGGATAGGAGAACACGCGACCAAAAATAAACAGATTTTACTTTAATTTTAAGTTGTTTTATATTAATTTGCATAATAATAATAATATATGTTAAATAACGCATAAACATACGCACGCAGAATGTAAAGTTCATTTTTTGTGACGAAGGTCCTGGCTCTTCGGAAATTCTTGTTTTTGGATAAAGTCGTGTAGTTTCCATTTGTCGCTTTTTTTTTCTTTCCTTAATCAAATGTCGGTAGCGGGAAATGGCATCCAAAACGCCTCGTCTCGCCTTTGCTCTCATTTCAAATCTGGATCATTGGCTACGATTTAATTAAGAAATTCAGTTATTGTTACTTTTACTAAAGAAATATGCAGTGAAATTCTTTGGGTTCTTCGTTTTCAGAATCTCTATTTTCTAGTTCTACGTGAATTCCTTGTTCTGCCAGTTCTCGAAGGTCGTCGTTGATAAGACTCTCACCAGAAAACCCGCGGTAACTCCTCAATATCCCGCTCGTCTGCATCTCCTACTCCCGCTGTATCGATTAGGTTGACAATTTGGTCGACCTAACGATACGGCGATAGGCTCTTCTCGTCGAGAATTATTGGATACCTTCGGCCGTAACTTCTTCCGCACTTCGTTCGTGCATTTATCGGTTAATTCTTGCTAAGCGAAGTAGATATTTCCTATGGCATCCGTGATGTTATTTTTTCCAAAACTGCACAAAAAAAAAACAGATTTAAGGATTGTACAGCGCTACGACGAATTCCTACCTTTTGCCGATTGATTCGTGTTTGGGAATAATCGTATTATATACGAATCAATGAAATGCCGCGATAATTTGAATTAGTATAAATTTTGAGCTTTTTTTTATTCTTCGAGCAGACGGCGTTACATCGAATTAGCGTTAATCGAGGCAGCGTTAAGCGGGATCTTACCGTACGTGTAAAAAGAAACTACGTAGAAAACGAAATTCGGTAATTACGGTAAACGTCGACGCGCGTATACCACGTTTGCGTCATAATGGAAAACACTGCAACAGCCTTTACACACGTAAATTGCGGGCGATAGTATTTACGTAAGACGGGAAAGCGTGTGGTGAAACGTGTCACCTGCGCTTTGTAAACGAAATTCTATACTTGCACACGTTATTCCACTAAATAAACTTTTTATTTGCAAATGACTATTCACTTATGTGTCTCTTTCTTTTCCCTGTGTACTGTACACCGTATTCTCCTACGAGCACGCTTGTAATCAAGTTTTGTAAAGAATTTAATAGTCTAATACTTTAAAAGCGGTTTACAGTTTTACATTCGAATACAGTGGTAGCCGCTTATTATGATCACATCGGTTCAAGACTGCTTTGGTAACAGCAAGCGGCTGATAACAATATTGGGCAGTTGCCGTCTTGCGGGCTGCCAGTGTACAGGGGCTTGTGCTTACAGCAGAATTGGTCAACCAGTCTATCGCGATCGACAGGGCAATCTCGAAAACATTTTCAGTCGATCGCTACAGTAACGCAATTTCGTAATATTTCCATTTTTATCGAATTAAAAATTCACATTAATGAATGGGAGAAAGCATGAATATTTGCTTACAATCAATCAATCAAATTATTTATTAGGTACAACAAAGTACCTACTAGTACCACTAGATATAACTAGAGGCGCGTTTGGAAATTCTAACCTGTGGTAGTGGTGACTGACGTCATCGGTCATAGCCGGTTAATCCGGGCGATCAGTGCATTTTTAAACACGCTGGTTATTTTATGATGTTCAAAATGGCGGAAAGTCGAAGAGAGTTGATACGAATTCTATCATTGCTCTCGAATATCGATTCATAATCATATGACAATGATGATTCGAAAAGTTCATCAAAGATGAAAATGAACTTGTAGAATTTTCTGGCCATTTTCCACGCTGTCTTGCCTCATCTGAAATTTGGAACGACACGGCTTTCTGATCTTGGTCACATTGTGTCGCGGAAACAAAATGTTGTTTTATATCCTCTATATTTTTAAAGTCACGGCCACATTCGTCACACGATACAATATGTCCGCCGTCTTGTAATTCAATAGAAGCGCTTTGTCACAGTGGTCACTTCGGTGACGTCGTAACAGTGATTTTTATACGCGGTCACATTTTCTAAACGCCTTGTAACTACCCACAGTTACCGGTAATACCGGTTACAATTTCCAAACGCGCCCTTGGTGTAAATAGAACATAGATAAAATTACAGTAATAGAGAGGTTGAGGCGCACGTTTTAAACGTGTAAACGTACTAAAAGTTTGACGATGGTGTTTGGAATGTCGAGCGTGATTCCACCGACTATCCAAACACCATTGTCAAACTTTTAGGCTTACGGGAAAGCGGCGCCGAACGTCACACGTACACGTTTACACGTTTAAAACGTGCGCCTCAACCTCTCTAATGACACTATAATAGTAGTAATTGGTTACAGTATGCATGGAATTACAAAGGGAAAAGATAAAAAAAGGAAATGAAGTAAATGTGGCGAAAGTATTACGGACAAACATTAAAGAATTAAATTCGCGTTTGCTTATGAAAATAAGCGGATAGTTACAACTAGTACAAAGATTAAAATATCAAATTTAAAATGTTACAAAGTAATGCTATATTCAAATATAGTTAACAGCGGAACAATACATTAATTTCGATTAATTTACAGATATTTACACGGAATCTCACGCATAACGTTCTGCTTTTCCTTTCGTATCTCCTTAGGTCACGTTCTTAGGCTCTGCGCGTCCTGACCAAAGTCGAGCTTAAGACCCTGTACACACTAGGCGTTTTTCAACGCGCGCTTTCAAACGCGCGTTTAACCTGCGTTTAAAAGAACCAAGAGTTCTATGTAGCCGTACACACTCAAAAGCCAAGCGCGCGTTAAACGCGCGTTTTGCGAGCGCTTTACGGGCGCTTTGAGATATATGTGCTGCCATGTTACCCTACATGCGATCGCGCGTTTTGCGGGAGTCAGCCGAGCGCTTTGAGATATATGTGCTGAAATGGAGAACGATCATTTCGATACTGATCTATTTATTGATGAAATCTAAAAGAGACCAACCATCGTCAAAGGATTTTATAGATATTTTAAAAGAATTAAAAAACTTGAATTTATTTTGTCTTAGTTTTGGATACAACGTCGCAAACATTTCATGCGTCAGTCTATCTCGTAATATTGGGTGCACCCAAAATTCTCTTTGCCTCCGCCGTCGTCTTTTATAGCGACGATAGAGGAGCCACACACAAGCAATCACTTCCACATCCATTTCCAAACCGAGCCAGTGCGCATGCTCCGCTAAACGCTCGTTTGAAAACGCCTAGTGTGTACAGGGCCTAAAAGTGGTCCACCAGAGGCCGAGCGGTTTCCGTTCCTGAACACTGGGGATTTGGTCGTGGATTCGCGCCGCGCTCGGACGGGCTGGCCACGTGGAGTCTTCCGGATTTTCTCCACGTCTGTAACGCCTAAATAGAGGCCAGTTACCCTTAGAAAGACCTCCCGAGAGGCATCCTCTCTAGACAGATCGCCCAAGCGTTGCGTTGCCATAACTTAATAAAACAAACAAACTTAATAGTAGTGACTTCCTTCTATCTTCCCCTTTGTAGACATAGTCGTCCTCTCTGTTGTTATCGATGTTTCTCGGAATATACGCCTCACGTCGACAAAAGGACTAAAAAGAGATAGACGGTTCTTTTTCTTTCAAAAGTATTAGAGGGCTGTCCTTCTTTCACGCTAGCCCTAAGTTGTGAAGTGAAGGAAGAGAGTAGAAAAGTTGTCAAGTAAGAAGTGGTGAAAACAGTAAGTTAGGAAAGATAGTTTGAAAGGAAGTAAGGGCTCATGAACACCTGTCTTGGCATTTATTAAAAACTAAAAAAAAAAAAAGTTTACAATACTAGAAACAGAAGACAAAGAACAAAGGAAAGACGTTGGAAATTAAAATAATTAAGACGTTTAAATTTAAAATAATAAGGCGGGCAGCCATAACGTTGTATTAGTTTATTCAACAGTAGATTGCAAATAGTTTTAATATAATGAAACCCGATAGCATTAAGAAGTTGGCTACACCTATCCTACTGTCAGTAGAATAGCAAATTAAGCTATAATCATAAAACTACAAAAAATCCAGCAGAATTGCGTAAGTTTTTGTCTGTTATGAGATTTTGTTTTTAAAAATAACTTTTATAATATTAATTCTTGAAGTTAGACTATTTACAAAAATATATTAATATTTTCGAGTCTATCATTAATTCCTTTTACACAAACCACAGAAGACACAGTTACTTTGGTTAGAAGATAAAACTTCTTTAAAAGAAAAATAATGAAAGGTAAAAATTCACGTTTAAAAATGATCAAACGCCAGCCTTTTATTCTAACTTCAAGAATTAAAATATTGAAGAGTATCCTGAGTCAACAGTGAACATTGTGAATATTAATTATAATAAAAAAAAAACAAATGGCTTAATTTTAAGGACGGGGATGAGTTTTATAAAAAGTTGTATATGCTAATAACGAGTAAAATCGTCATTAAATAGGCTACGACCCTCATTAAAAATAATACTTCCAGAAAAGTAATAAGTAATGTTTTCTAAAAGTTATCTTAAATTAATTTTGATTTGTCAGTTTTAAATATCATAAATGCCCTATTTTAATGTAATAATAATAAACGACAGGCCGAACATAATCCACAAGAAACGTGGAACTAGTTTGAGAAAACGACTTTTCTTTATATTAAGCAGCGACCATTGTATTTGTATTTTCAACGTGGCCCCAAAAGTTTTACTTTTATTGCCTCATAAACACTTGCTTATTGCCTCATTAAAACTGCAGCCTTGAAAAGGATCCCCTGTCCCTTTCAAGGCTGAAGTTTTAAACGAAAACAAAGGGATCGATCTTTCTTTCGCCGAACAGGTTTTACCGGAGGGGTCAGAACTGTCACGCCAAATTAACGAAATTATTCAGTCGTCTTCCTGAAATGAACCCGAAAGACAACTACTGACTCTGCTCCGGATTGATCAGACTTCAAATTACTGGATACTTTAAAAAGAAAACATCGGCTGGATAAGGCAGTCTCCCCTTTTCACTCGACTCGACATGTCCCTGTGTTTGAAAATTTTTTATTTCAGAACGAAAAGCGCGAAAAACGTCATAAAAGAATGACAATTCTCGACATTCCGATTTAAAAAACGGCGATTAAAACAAGCGCTTAGACCATCGACATCCCTTTTTACCTGTCGGAGTAGGCATTATCTTCTTATCTCTCGCCTTTTATCGTGGCAAAAAGTACTTTGTAATCTGTTATCCTACTCGTCCCATACAATGAATCGGCGCATGACACTCGACCTTAGATAACGAAAGTACATAAAGTATATACACGTCGCCGAGTTGCACCAACAAGTTTAAAATCCGAACCTCCTCTCTCACGCCCCCCGCACGGAGCCTCCTCAATTCCTTATCGACGACTCCAAAGAGTAAGAGAATCATGTGTTGTTGCAGTTTCTTTTCCCACATACCGGGAGAAATGGCCAGCGAATTCGAACTAAACGCGGCCGACGCCAGCAGGAACCTAACCGACTTTAGCACCAGGGAATCCTGGTGTTATCCCGGTGTCAGAGACGAAATTCGGAGAATTTCCACGCGGGGAGAGAAGGTGACGAAACTAAAACGGGTGCCGATATAAATGCCGTCCCCGCGATAATTATCGACAATCCGCAGTGGAATTATTGTATCGGTGCCCTTTGCCACACCACCGGGACCAAATTTGGATCTGCCAATTCGGCCTTCGTCCCGGTGAAGAACGATTATGAAAAGTGCAAGTTGGAAGTTAACAACAGACCGACCATTGGACATACAAAAATATATTTCGGTGAGTACCTCGAATTTAACTTTAAAATTTTAAATAACTTAATATGTATTAAAAGTGATGAAAATATATAAACTAAATTCATTTAAATTATAAAAAATATATTACGTTTAATTTAGTTATTGATAAGAAGAGAATCCACATTTTGTAGATTAAAAGATATAAAATTTCATCTTTATCTCTTGTAGATATATTTCGAATTAAATAAATGTTTGTGAATGGCTTTTAACGGCGTGTGTTTAAAAGGGGGCATACTGCTGTATTCTCTTTCAATTTATTTCGTGATTTTTGTAGTTTCACTCGAAACTTTTAAGGGAAAAAACCGTTTTATCTTCTTTTGACGAGAGCCGAAAATTTAATGAAAAATGAATTGTAATTTTTTGCAGTGTTGTATTAATTATTTGCTGCGATAATGAGAGATAATTTTTGATAAATGAAATAAACCGAAGATAAATTCATAAAACAGTTAGCATATAACAGAATTTATATAAGTTTTCGTATAGTTTAATTCGTCAGTTGTCACATTTGTGGTAGGAATTTATCTGATGTAGAAATGAGTGGAGTTAGTGTTAATGATGTATTTTTCTATCGATATCGATACATAAGCGACTATACACGTGCTAGAATGCCCTTATGCCACGTGGCCGTGACTTCAGTCGAAGAGCGAAATGAAGTCAACGGTATATTTAAAACAATCGATTCGATTAAAACTACGATAATTCCCGTTAACAGATGATAATCTTATTGAATTATAATACGAGTCCGGGTGGTTAATCGATCTTTCTTTCCAACGTAATAAAGATTGTAGTATCTAACGCGCAGGAATCTTTGATAATGAAGCAATTGTCCTCGAAGGAATCTGCTCACAGATTATCTTCTAGGTCATAATATCCGACTATCAATTAGTTTCACAAAATTGCTTTAAATACAGTTCATTCAAAGAAAACAAACATCAGTTTAACTCGATTACAATTGGAATTAAGTTATTTTATAACGAATCGATGAAAACTTAAGCTAGAAATTAAGATACATAAAAAATGCCACTTGGTTGCTCTTTTCGAATGGTTAATAATGCTGCCAAAAATTACATTTTAAACAGAAAAATAGTTATATAATTATAAATAAGTGAAACGTGTTTACTTTCTCTATTATTTTTAAATTACGTGCCATTGAACGTTACACCACTTAGTAAAACCGTAGATAACACTTGTAATTAGTAATTCGTGCATCCTCCACCAATGCGAAAAAAGCGTTTGTAAGCGTATTCGCATACATTCTGTAAGTGCGTGAGATGAATCCTTTGTCTACGCACGAGCTGATCCTATTTTCTCGGTTTGTAGGTTCTGTTGTCCATTTGTAATGAATTACACGATGTAATTAATCTTTATATACGATTTCATATTCGAGTAAATTTAAAGTCAAACGGTTTTAAGAACCCGAACGAACGAAGTCTTAAAACTTTGCATTTCATAAGCGTAAGTGAATTTAGTTTATTTTTACACGGAACACAGATCTGACGTATGTACAGTTGTAGATGTTTCCTAAGTGCCAAAGAGAAGTTGACGGTGGACGATGCTTCTCGGAGTCACGAATACGACTGTTCTTTTTTATATAAAATTGTGTGCTGTCGAGTCGATGGTGTTCGATGAGATCACTATACGCCGAAATGTTCCGAGCCCGTGGTACTTTTCGAGTGATCAAAAACATCGCTGGTAAAGTGGTAAAGCGGATGCATATTGTTCTACATTATGTATTTATTTTTTAAACAAGGAGCGACTTGGTGAATATGTCGACCAAGTTCTAGCAATTGCAGACATAGAAGAAGCATTTGCATTCTATCAGATTTCTCGTGAGTTAGTTTCATTCTATTAGGTTCGTGTAACTATTTACTCGAGTGTAATAAACACCGAGTTTTCTGGTAAGACGTGTGCTTTTTTATTTAATATATTATACTCTTCTTTCTCAAAAGAACTATGATTAAACTTAATAATTTTGATATTGGTTAAATACTTAAAAACTTTAAATTTATTATAGTTTCGTATAGAGCCGATAGGCGTAGCAACGCGTACGGCTACATTTAATGTGAAATAACTACGTATGTTGTTAATATCACCCGAATTTTTACACTAGAACGTCCCAGTTTGTGAAAATTAATGTACGATAGGCCTATCTCTGTACGAAGATTATAGGTTTTTAATACACTAAATAATACAAAGGAAGGAGACAAGAAGAGGGAAGAAAAAATGTAATTTGATTTACCGGTTTATTAGAATGAAGTAAATATCCTATGGAGTCAATTATGGTAACATACAACATAGTCTAGATGCGGGAATAAACACAGTAAACTACAACTGTATTGCTCAATTAAAAGAAAAAGTTCAATCATTGGTCATTTCCAACGATTGAACTTCATAGACCATTTCTCAGATTCTCCAGAACAATAAACAAAACACCAAACGACAATAATAACATATGTAGACCTATATATAATTGTACAAAAGACAGTAAAATATATATGAATTTATTATTTCATTTTTATAATTTAATTTATAATACAAACTGTTTCGAGCCACTTAGTTAACTTTTCATGTTTATCTATATTTCAAATTTCTAAATTTACTTCAAAGTTCTATATGAAATTATAATTACGAATAATTGAATATTGAAAATTTTATCTGATCCTAAACTACATATAATTCGTATTTCCTAATCCCAGTTTAATTACATTATAAAAATTTTTTAGTAAAGTACGTTTTCGTATACATTATCGAGAAAGTTCTGGTGGTCTTACTAGCAACGACAGCTCTATTATAAGCTCTCGTTTTAATATTTTCTAATTGTCCTAATGTAAATTCTTCTACACCATAAACCCCGCCTTTTCTATTCTCTCTCTCTCTTTTTTTTTTTTTAATCTTATTATTGTTTGATTTTTACACCAGATAAACTTCGTACAATGACAAAAATATCAGAAAATTTCTCGGTCATCTGTACTCATAATTACAGTTTATTTTTAATTAGCATGTGTAATAATACGCGATGTCTAAGTCCGAATAATCATCATTATCGAATTAATAACTTAATAATTTCTGCTGGAGTAGAAAACTTTTATTGTACTGTAAGAGAGAAGCAATCATAATCTTGTGATGATAATTATCGTGGCGCACTCGGCAAGATCGTCGGCGGCATTATAAATATTTACCGAAATGCCGTATATTGTATCCAATTGGACGAACTTCTTATTCGTGTTTTATTTCCGTACAGGAGAGAAACAATACAAGTGCGACAAAGCGGGATGCGGCAAGTCTTTCGCCAGAAACGAAGAACTGACCAGGCACAAGAAGATCCACAGCGGCATCAAGTCCTACGTCTGCCACGCCTGCTCCAAAGGTTTCGGCAGGAAAGACCACTTGACCAAACACCAGAAAACTCACCTGAAGGCGTCCGAGAAGAAAATGCACAAGTGTTACATCGTGGGGTGTAACCACGAATACACCCGGTCCGACGCGCTGGCCAGGCATCTGTCCAACGCCCACGACATCAAAAGCAATTCCTCCAAGAGCCGCGCAAAGACAACATTCCTTCCCACCTTACCCGCCTACCCCATCAATCCCCATCGGAATGTCTACGCCGTACTCTGACCGTCCTCCTTGTAATTAAGAATTCTGTGATATTTTCGCTAGTCATTTTTATAATTGTTTTATTTAATAAACGCTGTTTACGTTTTACTTTTTACTAAAAGATAAAATACTGGAAAGAACGAAACGTGCGCTTATCTCCGGTCTATTACAAAACCCATCTCGTGCAAAGGGAAACATTATCCACTCCCTCCCGACGAATACAGATAATAGTTTCTATCTCCTCCTGGCGGTAGAGTAGATATTAATAACGATAAAGCTCCATTAACGCCGGGTCAACCCGTCATTTATCATTGGAGAGTATCGTACCGAAGATTATTCCAGACCCGAAATTACTTTCCTTCTATTATTAAAAACTTCCTTCCGTTAATTACTTATTTATAATTATCGAAAAATCTGTTGCCACTTACCTTCTGTCGCAGTTATTCGTTAGTTAATACGGTAATATTCGGCGCCCCGTAGCAGTAGATTCGGCGCGCCCCCTCGTTCCTCGGAAGGAGTCTGGCGAAATTTATTTAATATTTTATTTTAAAACCTTACTTGAAAACAATTTACTTGAGATTCCAGGCTTTTTTACGATAACATATTCGATTTCATAAATAAATAATAATAAAACAAAATGTAATTCTTTAAGTACGGAGTGCATAATATTTACTTCGTATTATATAAACTGTATTGACAAAATTTACGCAAGTTTAGTTTCGTAACATATATTTATATAATAATTAGACGGCGGACATCTAGGCCCTTAAAAATGGCGTTTTAGGCGCTTAAAATAAACTCTTAAATTGCCTCGTTTATGCTTTATAAACAAAAAATAGGCGGTCAAAATTTGCGCAACGAACGATTAACGTACTTATCGGGACGATGAATTTTTTATTTAACGTATGTATTCCAAATAAAAATGCACGTATTCAGAATGATGCAAGCACAAAAGTAGACAAACAATTATCTTTACATTTTTTATTCGCTCCGTTTTCCACAGTTAGCTTCGTAATATATTACAAGCACTTTTTCCAAATTTTCAATAGAAAAGTTGCAAGGTTTGTCACCGAAAATTAATTTATACGCGGAGAAAGAGCGTTCCGCATCTACCGAAGATAACGGACAGTATTTCGACCTTGGAAGAGTAAGACGAACTGGGAATTCACTTTCGGTTTTGCTCTTCTTTCCTGCCAAAGTATCAGCCACAATAAACGAGCGCTTTAATTCGAGTCTCTTTCGAAGCACCGCTTTCGACTCTTTCTTTACTTTTTTTGCAGCAGTGCCTGGTGCGTCGCAAAGTTTCTGGTTCGCTCTGTCGAGAAGATCGATTTGTTCGTATATAGGTTTCCCACTACTTTCGAGAGCGGTAATAGTATCCGCAATGAATGTAAAATAACACTCGATGTACACCGACTTGTTCCGAACATAAATGTCATTCAAAATTTTCTTGGCTTTAATTACGCAAAATGCACTGACCGTTAAAGTGGGCAGAAGTTTTTTGATATCGAAGAAATGTTCACTGTAGCGGTTAGTACAAAATCTTGGCCATGTATATACTAAGGGGAAAATAGGCATTTGCCTAAAATCTGCTGTCTAATAATAATACATTAAAAATTTTCAGAATTGTTATTTTCTCGATTTTTCTTTACAAATCGGTCAATCGCTCTCTCTAGATCAAGTTGACAAGCTATTGTTTTTTTCATTTCATACAGTAGCCAGAGCTAAGACAGTGTTGCCACACGCCGTTTCTTTAATTAAATAACTTTTAATTTTAGTTTTGAAAAGTTTCGTAAGGCTGTGGCTGTCGTCGCCGGTAAAGTTTTAAAAAAATGAGGCGTGCTGCAATAATGTCGGAGAAGCTACTTTTAATTCACACCGCAGCTTGGAGCTGCGGTGTGAATTAAAAGTAGTTTGGCAACTTGGCGTTTAGAAGTAATTTCTTTTACCCGAATATAAAAACACATTTTAAATCGAAGCAGTTGAGGTCCAAAACTAGGCGAAATGTCGGAGGGATATGCAGATTGTAATAATTCTGGTCCTTCCGGAATATTTTTATCGGCAAAAAATTGTCTTTGTTTACGAATCTCGGGCATTTAATACTTACAGTTCTCCCAAATAAGCTGAGCTGAACTACAGCTCGGCTTTCGGCTTGAGTCCGGTTCAAAGATTGGTGTAGTATTTCCAAATAAACTGAGTTATGCCGAATTGTAATAATATAACTTAGTGTAATAATTCAATATTCACTTCACAACATCAATGTTTCTAAACATATTCAAATTTCTTTGGTCTTTCCCGTACACGCATATTCTTGGCAAACCTTTCGTCTGCACTTGTGGCAGTTGTATTATATATATATATTGAATTTTAAATTACGGTGCAGTTATTACAATTATTACGGCCAAATCCCGTCTAGTTAATTTCGTAGGTAAAAAGACAATTGCACGTATGCTAAATACATTTACTTTAATTAAATACGGCCGATATAGAGAAACAACCCTTGGCACAGTCCTCGTACGACATTACGTGTACAAACTGTACTACAGATAAAAGAAAAAACGCCAGGTCCCGAATGGATCACCCTATAAAATCGTCTACTATCCCTAAGAAGTGACGAAACAATTCGATTGTTTTGGCCGTCTTCGGCTGTATAACGGTATTCTGTTGGTATTCGGAACCAAGTATCAACGGTTAAAGTTAGAAATTGACCAATAAGTGTTCACGTACTAGAACTCAAGTAAATGGTAATTGGTTAACTTCTAACTTGTGATCTTTTCTTGATGGTGAATACGGCAAATATATAGGTCATCCTTTATGATAACTTGTAAAGAAAAATCACTATATAAGAGGAAATGCTTTGTAACAATTAAAGTAATTTTTCCCTCGTCTACTTTACGGTTACTCCTCCCCCGTTTAAAGACAAGAATTCCCCACGAAAACCCATAAAATTTTGGATCTTTCTGGATACAAAACTTCAGCAGAGAATTAGACTAATTGTATCACGTCTACAAAATTTTCGATTATTATTTTTTTAAATTAATCAGTAACTCGATAATCGTAGTGTTATCGAGTGTTATTTGTGCAAGATAGCTCAACAGACAGATCATCAGAAAGCGTTAGTTTGATGATATAGTTTTCTGCATTGTAACGCTTTTAACAATAACGTGACGACACAATTCAATTGAAATTTTTAAAAAATCTGACGGAAATGATGACGTTGCGAGGTGAAACCAAGTCTAAGAGTTGCTCGTCTCTCTCTACTTTTACTTTTCTGATAAAATGCAATTGTTTAAGATATGTAAAAGGTTATAATTAGAGTCTGTGTAACGCTCATTATCTACTGTGTAATTGTTATCGAAACACCTTTACTCTTTGGACACAAAATCCTTTCGCTCGATCGACCCCCGAAACAATAAATTAAAATTTAATATAATAAATTTAACGGTAAATATTAAGTAATTGTAAACGGAACTGTTAGTTTCTCTATAACGCCGAAACTAAGTTACAAAGAAGTGTTTACGAAGTGTTCCGGAACTCCACATTGCAACTTGCCCGACTCCATCTTAGCTTCTTCAATTTCTACATTGCTTTATATTTAGGATAAATAAACTTTCTATTCTCGGCGACGATCGTAAGGAGAATTTCGATTTATTGTCTTGTATTTCTCAACAAAGGAATGAACAAAAGCTGCAGCGTATGTCGTTTTAATCTATGTTTTTAATTAATATGTGTATTAATTAACACAAAGGATAATTATTTATTCATAAAAACGGCAGCATTAAAGTAGAAAATCTAGAAATCAAACTCGATAGCGATTTAATTTATGCAGGAAAAGAGCGCATCAAAATTGTGTTAAAAAAAATAACTAATCTTGTACAGTTTAGAAAATAAACATGATCTTATCTTATCTTAATAATCTGTTCTTGTAACTAGGCTGAGCAGACCCCCTACTGAGGGAGGCACCGCGCTGCTCCGATACTTTTAAAATTTTTATTATTTCTAAAATTTACGCATCTTGCTACGGTCTAAAGATAATTAAATATCATTTCTTCGTGCAATATTTAAACATTTGCCATTTTTATTTTTCGTACATTGATGATTTAAGAACTGCAAATTTGGTTTGATGGGATACGGCAACGCAACGCATAGGCCTTCCGATTAAAGAAGATGCTTTCCGAGATAACTTTCTACGGAAACTAGGCTCTATTTTGATGTTAGGCACGTGAAGAAAATGTGGAAAACCCCACTTGGCCAGTTTCGTGAGGAACAGATGGTTTTTGCCAGGCCTTCAAAATGCTCGCTCCACCAGGTTCTACTCTCGATTAACGATTATCCCAGCTTTATTGTAGCAGATGCCGCTTATTGTAATCACTTTAAGATTAGCCTATACTGGTAATCCAGTGATAACACTACGCGATGAAAATATTTCGACCACAACTAGTTTTATCCAGTTGAATAACCTAAAAACGTGTTAAAACAGTTAAAAATTAAAAAAAAAAATTTAATAATTAACTAAAACTTAATTAATTATAATAATAATTATTGTACTTGATTAGTTTATCCAGCGTTATTTTCCAGTCGTTTTGGCAATCTTTCATTACTAAAACTCGATATTCCTAATACTTCCGAAACTCGACACAGCTATATTGTACGCTACAACGAAGCTTCGAAAGCTGCCAGAGCTTCTGGAAGACCTAGCTAGGCCATCTTTCTATTTATTTTCTTTAATTTCATCACGCAATTTTCCAGAGCCTTTTTAGGTAACAACTTGGCATACCTTTGCGATTGGCGTATTCATCACAGCACACACTGGAATTTCCTTGTCGATTGCCAACCAATCTTGTAGATTGTTGTTTGTGATCTCTTCACGGAAACGACTTCATTTTCAGAAGTCTCCGCGCTTACTTTTAAACAACCATCTTTTAAGTCAATTTACAATGGTGTTCTCCGACAGCTGATCATACTACTACGCCAAAAGATATGGTGCGTCGAGTATATTCTTTTAGCAGTAGAAATCACATGGGTTTGTCTTTGACTATTATATACTTCGTCTTAAATTCTTGAACACATTTCACTCTTTTAAGTCTGATATGATTCCTTCATA